AAAATATTTTTTTAGAAATTGAAGTTCATGAAGGAAACTAAAAAGATTAAACAAAATTGTAAAAATAAACTATGTAATAAATGCCCTATACATAAATATAGGAATATCCAATACTGATAGTTTTACTTAAATGCAATGTAAATTACTTCTTGACGATATTTTGGGATGCAAAATGCTTTGAAGCAACAGACGTAAGAACAAAAAGTAGGGTTCAAATTGTATGTAAACCAGTTATATCATAACAAATTGCTAGTAGTTTTAATTATGATTATAAATTTTAAGCTTATTCACACTATATCAGAATTATCAAATTGAAATTGGTTTGATTAATCCCTCGAATTTATAAAGTCGGACGTTCAATTTCAATGTTCAGGCTAATTTTACAAACTTTAGGCTAGTTTTCGAAGATATGGAGCATTTCCAGCGCATTAACCGAAAACTCTATCAGAACTTCAAAAAAAAACAGTGAGTTGGCTTTACGATATTTAAATTTTGGAAATACATATTTATATGAAGTAATATGAATAGTTTGTAATGGGCTTTTTCTATCGGTTTTTCTGTAAATCGTAGAATTCGAAATAATTTTTATATTGTATTTATAAGTTATTTATTTAAATTAATTTTCATTCTTAGCATAATTTTTAACCTTTTTTAAACGAACAACAGCAAAAAATTTTAAATACAATTTTTCCACCAAAATTTAAAGACAATTTAAGATGCAAGATATTTATTATATTTGAATAAAAAATTATGCCATATACATTTCTAGCATTTTTGATGTGAAATAAATGAACACGCTAAGGAATAATAAATTCGAAATAAAAAATATTTGTTTATACCTGATGAATATGACTAAATATTACTTCAATAAATATTACTACTTAGAAATTTCAATTAAATATTTTTATTGCAGAAGCATGCCATTAAAGTAATTAATTTTATACAATTGATTTGAAGCAAATATAAAAACCACAATTAATTGCTCAAAACACTAAAACAAAAAAAAAATGACTAAAAATAAAGAAACATGTTAGAAAATACATTGTTTACTTAATATTTATTTAATCATATTAACTATATCTGGTATTACATACAGCAAGCATTAAGTCTGAACTTTAAATTCAGAAAAATTTTATTCTGAAATATATAATGTGAGGTAAATCACACTGGGAAAAAATTGTGGTAAGATTACCTTACTGTATAATAATGGCATTTCTGACTTTAAAAAAAGAAAAAAAAGCATATTTTTGGATAATAAATCCAAAATATACGATATTTAAACCATTCAGTTGGTTTAAATAAACCATTCAAGAGGTTCTCGTAGTCTTTCTCTCTATGCAACGCAAATGCGGGTTAGTTCCCTCACAAAGTCCTCCACAAAGGCAACTTTCTCCCAACACTCGATCTAGGAGTTCCCTTGTCTTCTGGATTAGATTCAAAGTTACAAGGTTACGCAGTTGAACATTAGTAGCCGTTAACCCATAAAATTGGGTCGCTGTTCAACGACGGTATTCAAAATTTCAAAAGCTCATTCATTTAATCTAAAGTACATTAATAACTTTTTATTTGTTTTAAGTATATTTTAAAACTGTAAATGTTGTATCTAATGTTATACTTTCGATATCTGTGTTTATGACCAAGCAGAATGAATGAAAAAGCTATAGATTAGTTTGAAACCATTTAAGAGTTTTAAATAAAAAGTTATAAACGCCTCTTTCAGCTCAATTAAACATCAGGAATGATCAAATTTAATTTTCAACATAAATCTTTTGTTATTGTTTAATTGCATCTCAACAGCGAAACAAATTGCGCAATTAGAACAAAAATTTAGTCATTAACTCTGATATTTAATGAACACTTCAGCCATTCAAATTCAAAATTGGCATTTTCAGCAAAATCTCCACCGTTTGATAATTTCAATAAATCATCTCTTAAAAAAATATTATAATTAAAATTCTATAATATTATAGTAACAATATTATAATAACATTAGCATAATAGCACTATTATAATTATAAATAATGAATGCAAAATACGGCTTTAATGTAATATTCACGCGGTTGTTGCTGATATAATTTCAATCAATCTTTTTTCTATCTAAAATAGATCATTAACAAAAGTCAAACTAAGTTTTTCTTGCCAGCTCTTAACATTGTTCTAAAACGGAAATATTAGGGTAAAGTCTTAATCACTGTTCTATATCATACTCATAATGTTAACTTAACCATTTGGAAAAGCTATATAAATATTAAAAGGGGAAATCTGTTGTTACTTATAATTGGGTACTTGCTACTCTATAAAAAGAACACCTCAAAAATCACAGAGTTGTGCTTTAACATTTGGTTGAGCATGACGTGTTAATAGTTACAGCTTTAAGGCTTGGTCTTATTATTACATTGAATCAATTTTTGGATCAGATTTAATTGGATATCTGCAAGCAACATCACGCGTGTGTGTTGAACCTGACTATTTGACCCCCGCATGACGTCATTTGCCACTCTCCAATCCCCAGTTCCAAAATTGAAGAATTTCATACAGGATTCAAAATTAAAGACTAGCCTCCAGAAAAAATTTATTTGTTGTCTGATGCTACTTTAACGTGATGAAATATATCTCCTGGGTAAATAAAATATCATACTATATAATATTATAAGCAAAAAAAATTTTTCTTTGTGTATTTCTTGGAAAAGTTAGTGTACTACATTAAAATGGATTAGCAAATATATAAATTTTCAGTTTCATTAAATGATAAAAATTCAAACAATTATTTGAATCGGAATTTTCTCTAAGTAGAGACTAAATAACATTCCTAGCTTTTTTTAATGCATATTATGCAAGATAATTTAATTTGCAATGTTCTAATTCTAGAAATATGAATAAGTTATTGCGTGCTTTACAACTCCTTAACAACAGGTAGTGTTTTGTATTTACTTCCTCAGCGCTATTACATTCTCTACAATAGTGCAACCTAAATTATACGCGAAGAATATTTATTGCAACGATACACCACAGGTGTTAATATTTCCATGTAAGCACTACACCGTTCTATCACCGTCATAGAATTCACAAATGGAATCATGAATAATTTCGTACAGTTCAGTTTCAGGCTTTAACTAATGATTAACGCACACGAACTTCCGAATAAATTGTTAACTTCAAACTTATTTCATATTCTACGAATTTTTCCCTAAAGACAGGCTATTAGACTACTAGAAATGAATAAACATCATTTTAAGTTCAAAGTTATGCTTATAATGTTAACCTCCAGTGAATGACTTAAGTATTTGTGAATAACATATAAAGTGAAAAGTTTATTCAAAATGAATCATTGTTCCAAATAAAGTGAAAACTTCTTATTTATTGCGATTTCTGAGATTTGATTGCCATGTAAATTTGCTTGGAAACATTTTGTTCGACTAAAGTTGCAGTTAATTATTCACGACCATGATAGATTAACTGAAAACTAATTATAAAACTACAAAGTCCGAAGTTGTTTTTAAGAGACTTAAGCAGTTTTAAACTTATTCTAAAAATAAAGAAACAAATTGAACAAAATCGCAAATTCATTTGCGATTGCAATCAAATCTCAGAAATCGTAATAAATTAATCGCAATAAAATATGAATAATGCAGGAAAAAATGTATTCTGTTTTAAAAATGTATCAAACAGAATGTATTAAAAATGTATCAAAAAATGTATTAAAAATGTATCAAACAGAAAAATATGAACTTATTTAATAATAATTATTTCTTTAACGTTTTATTTAGTACATAAAATTTAATCCGAATACTTCAATAAAATATTTATTTCGGATTAATTTGATAAGAATTACTAGGGAACCCTAAATTGCGGTTAGGAGATATTTTTTCTTAAATAATTAGCCTCAATAAGTTGCGTAGCAGTTGTAGAACACAATTCAGTGCGAATAATGAAAATAAAGAATTTTATCCAACTATTTTCTGTTGCCTAGCAACTGAGACAGATTTATTTAAAAAAATTCTCTTGGCACCACAGAATGTTCTTTAGTCAGATTGGCAGAATTGAAATGTGTGTATCCCTTTGCATCTTTCAAAAATTAAAAAGTTCTTAAAACAGTTTTTTCAATTGATTCCACATTTTCATTGGTTTATTTAAATGAAAATACGCCTATCATTTTTTCAGTATGGATTATAATATAAAATCTTGTACAATTTGACAGATGCTTCATATTATTACAATCATATGCTGTATAATATTATATTATGTTGTATAGTGTAATATTATGTTGTATATTGTAATATTATGTTGTATATTGTAATATTATGTTGTATAACATAATTTTGTCATACTGTTATTTAAATATAAATATGTCAATTAATTTTTTTACAATATGTAATTATAATATGAAATATTGTGTAATTTGGCTGATGCCTTATATTGTTATAATCTTATTCATTGTTAAGAAAATACAGATTAAATTTTTTATTAAAGTCGCAATTTATCAAACTCAATTGATTCTCAAAACTCAAATCAAGCCTTTAAATCATACCTCCTTACAAGAATATCTAATTCTATTTTCAAAAAAATTTTTTTAATCATGTTTTCAGTTCTGAAGCTTCATGAAATTTTTGTATAAATAAATCTAGATAAAAGAAAATTTTATATCGTCATTTCATGTATCATCTGAAATGCAATCTTGCACAAGTTTCATCTAGATCAGTGGTTCCCAACCTGGGGGCGATTGCCCCAAAGGGGGCGATAATCCTTAGGGGGGCGATCAGGGGGCGACGAGTACTCAAAAGATAAAAAATGCTAATAATATTAATAATAAAAGCTATTTGAGATTGAAATTGAAAATATATATGAAACCTATGGTTTTGGGGTCGACAAAGAATTACGATAGCTAAAAATTAAAAAAAATTCAAGTGCAGGATCGTTTTCGTCATACTATTTGGTATCGCAGGCGGAAATCTGATAAGTCACTTCTGAGCAATAATACTGTTTCCAGGCGTATTGATGAGATGGCCGCCGACGTTGAATCAAAACTCATCAAATTTCTGAAAGAAGGTAAATTTGCGTTGCAGATTGATGAATCAACTGTGATAGACAACAAAGCTGCTTTAGCTTACGTGAAATTCATAAATGAGAGTAAGGAGATTAACGAGGAAATGTTGTTTACAAGAACTTTTAACACTGATACAAAAGGATCGTCGATTTTTAAATTTGTCAAAGATTATTTTGAGGTAACAGAAATTCCCCTCACAAATGTAAGTGCTTGTGCAACAGATGGTGCTCCAACCATGTCTGGTTGTCATACTGGGTTTCTGGGTCACCTTAAAAAAGAAGTACCGGAAGTTATCTCACCATTCATGTGTCATTCATCGTCAACTTTTGGTTGCGAAAAATTGGTTATTTCTGGCATCAATAAAATAAAAGCTAATTCTCCTAATAACCGTTTGTTCCGAGAACTTTGCCATGAAAATTATGAAGATTTTGAATTCATGCTCCTACATACAGCTGTGAGATGGCTTTCAAAAGGAAACTGAGCTGTTTCTTCGAATTGCTGGATTCGGTTACTGAGTTTCTCGACACCACTGATTCAGTTTTAAGTGAGAGTTTGAAGCAACGTAAGTTGGAAACTGCGTACCTCACTCATAGTTTTGAAAAAATGAAGGAAATCAACGTAAAACTTCAAGGAAATAAAATGAACGTTATCAAGGCTAAGGGAATCATATCCTCATTCATCGCCAACTTTGATATCTACAAGTCAAACATTGGTCGTAAAGAGCTAATGCAATTTCCAACTCTTAAAAAGTGTTCAATGGCAGATATCGAGATTCTCGAAAATAAAATCTTAATTTTTACTGATCACCTTGATCAGTTATGGAATCAAGATTTAAAGATTTGATGAAATTAGAAATTCCGGATTGGATTTTCGATCCTTTCTCTTTTGAAGTTGTGGATAAGCTCACTTCCTCTTTGTAGACTGAGATTTTAGATTTGAAGTATGACTGTGAGGCTAAAGTCGTCTTTAAAAAATACGGTTACGAGTTAGCTTGGGTAAAGCTTATGGACACTTATCCACAATTGTGGAAACAAACTGAGCCGCTTCTCATCTCGTTCCCGTCAACATATTTAGTGGAGAGAGGATTTAGTTCTGTCTTCCAGCTGCTCACAATGCAAAGAGAAAGGTTGGACATTTGCTTCAAAGGAGATCCGCGTTTAAATCTGACGAGCATAAAACCTGACATTCAAGCTTTAACTTGAAATACACCAAGCACAGGGCAGTCATTGAAGTGGTAAAAATGTACTTTCTTCCTCTTCATTTTTTTTCTCAAATTTTAGTTGTTAACGTTTTAATTTTTTTCTTGATTACATTAAAATATGAATCTAAAAAAATATACTTTTGTTTTGATTATTCCGTTTTAAATATAATTTCTTTTTGAAAAAAAAAGATGCACAATTTTTTTTAATTAATAAAAATGACAGGATGAATGTACCTCCTTATTTGCATTACAATTTGAATTAAAATCAAATAACATAACATATTTTCAGTGTTAGGTTGCTCACAAGCATCAATGAATGGTTTTTTGAGCAAAAAGAAAAAGGGGCGATATGTGTCAGCCAACCCCAAGAGGGGGGCGATGGTCCACAAAAGGTTGGGAGCCACTGATCTAGATTGACAATGAGATATTTATGAGATCTAATTTTAAAAATTTTTCTGAGATATTATCTTTAAAATATTCTTAGAATATTTCAGAAATATTCTATAAACAGAGTTAAAATAATAGTTGTAAAAACACCGGATATTTTCAAGCTTAACAGAATTATTTCGTAAGTTTATTTTTTGTAAGATTTTAAGTTAAGTTTTGAAGTTTTAGATGTGAAGTTTTTTTAGTTTTGAAGGTAATGTTTGTAGAAAATTTTGAACACTTTTTTCCGCATTATTACATTTTTAGCTTATCTGAAACAAAAACTTTATGTTTTGTCCTGTAACGAATGAATATACACATATATTTCCTTCCAATTCTCACTCATATAAATTGACACTCGTCTTTCAGGCATCAATTCGAACCTGGGACCTTTCTGAAAAAAGACCAGCTCTCTGACCACCATACAGCCTGGTCGTCTGAATATACATATAGGCATGGAATGTTTTAATACAACTCAATAGAATAGCTCGAAAAAAATCTTTTCAATATGATATTTTATCCTCTAGTCCTCTTGCAATTTTGAACTTGACTTTGAGGATAAAAATAGACTTTTATTTAAAAAAAATTCACACAAGATAGACACGAAACTAAAGAAAATTTTAATTAGCTATTTTAAAGTCTTTAGGACTCCTTTATTTATTTAAATTTATGCTTAGCGTTTCGGCAATATTTGGAATATATTTCTTTCTCTGAGTTTCAAAGAAAGCAACGACAGTTTCGCTAAAAATATAATCTTTCGCTACCACATTTTAATTCAGTAATCCTTCGCAATAGGACAATACAACAATAAAAAAAAGTAAACACATAAAAAACATTTTAAAAAATCAAACATTAAAATTGCTCGATCAAAAAAGTGATACTGTCAAAACAAAACATTTGTTTCTTTTCAACTGCTCTGCTTCAAATACTATCAATATAAGTCCATTTATGAGTTTTCAAAACATCTAAACGCAAACCTGATCTATAATCGTTCAATACTTTACTACAAAGCACGTATAAAAACAACTATTTGTTTCAGAAGTGTTTCTTTATATATTTTTTTTTAGAAATAAAGCAGCAAAAACTGGAAACATTTGAAAACATTTCATTGTGAGGAATGGGATTTCCTGCAAAGTACTTTTCGAAGATTCTTCTTCTGCTGAAAGTCTTACTCTACAATCATCAAACGTCAAGTTCGTGACACGCTTATCGGAAACAAAAAAAGAACTAGTTCGACAAAAGCTTGAAATTTTTTAGCAAAGCAAATTTTTCTTTCTTTTATATTTGTTTTTTCATTTCCTTTCTCTTTCTTCGATTTTGATTTTTGAAAAAAATAAAGCCGATTGCAAAAGTAAACTGGAATCTCATAGTCAGTTTAACTCATATAGTGTTTTGGAAGAAAAACCCAAATGTAAAAATCATAATTGCGAAAGACGGATGAAGGTTAGTCTTTAATGACCCCTTCATATATAATTTCAAAATCCACTTCAAAAATTTACCCTCAAAGAAACGTCTATAAAATCAAGGAATTGGCCGTTAATATCAGGTCCTGTCTTAGAGATTCCCCCCCCACACACACACACACCGATCTGCTGTTATTGTAAAGAACTTGGGAAAAATTAGAAGATAGACCGTTAATTCATGCAGTCAGCTCCAGTTTTTTAAGGGGAAAAACCTACTACCAATATTTATAGCTAACTTCCACAAAATTAGTAAATTTCACCGTTAGTACATACGGTTGTCATACAATGATTTATAAATCAGTTTTGAGGTATTTACACACAGTATTGAGCCACTGGTATAAAGATCCGCGGCACAATTCCTGCCTATACCGAAAACGTCCCTCTCACACTTTCTATTTCTCTACATTGATGATTACTAGTGAAAACCAAGCAATTTTATCTATCTTTGGCAGACGCCAGCACTATAACTTTTCGCCTCATTCCACAGTTTGCTTTGATTTAACAAGCAAATCGCCAGAATCTCGAACAACGTCAAAGCCCAAACTGAAGCATAATTTTAATTTACGGTCAGTGACTATACAGTTTACGAGAAAATATTTACAGGAAGAACTTTATTTTTATGGTCACATTAGCTTTGCAAATGTTAATTTATATTTGTGGTCATTCACTGGAAACACTTTTTGCTGATGTGAAATCTTTTAGAGTTTATTCATTAGAGGGTCATAAATTCATACTTAAGCCAAGAACCATTAGTAAGAAAAGCAGGTCTGAAATCTGTTTCATTGAGGATAGAACCAAAAAGATTGGTAGGGTAATTATTAGAAACAACTCCGAATTTTATCAAACCTCCTTTCTCCTTATTTATTCGATAAATTCCAATAGTTTTTGTTTTTTTTTGTCCTAAATATTTACTATTATGACTCCTAATAAGTATACATTATTTTACTTCATATTTCACATGGAGTCTTAAAATGTATGCTTAAATAAATAATTGGGGAAGACCCTGTTTGAAATAAAATATGCGTAATATTTAAAAAGAAAATAAAGTAATTAAAGCATGCTTGAAATCCACTTTTTTTTATTAGAAGCAGCAACAGAGGAGGGAAAAAACTCCAGATTTTAATCAAATTTCTGAACTGTAAAATTGAAATAGCAAATGTAAGGCAGTGGAATAATTATTCAAGGAAACGAGGAAGAAAATCTCTTCAAAAACCAACAAAAAAGTACAAATTTCTGAAATTTCTACAGTCAATATCTCTCTCAGTAATTTTCAGAGAAAAACATTTACATTCATTTTTTTTAATTATTTCTGCTCAAATCCAAAATACTCAACATTCAAAAAGCCTCGTCAAGAACGTGTAAACAGATTTGATAGCAAAAATAACAAATTTGAGGTAGCATGGTTTAGTTTTTATTTTCTCGATAAATTTAAACATATTTGCAAAATAATTCAATGGTTCATTTATTAAACAAAAATTGTTTTTTAAGAATAAAAACACTTAAATTCTTCGCCATAATAACAATGTTTATTGGATATATTAACTTATAAGTCATTCTCATATGACAAAAAAAAATTCAATCTTGGTAATAGTAAACCTCTTTTTTCAAAATTCAAAAGCGAAATTTCAGAAAAATATCTTAGTTATCACATTTAATATAATGATTAAGACGGTTCAGTTAATTTTGTATAGAAATAATATTTAGGGAGAAAAAAAAGTAAAAATATGCAAGCTTTCAAAACAAATAAAAACATATTCAAATTTTACGATAACATAATATTAATATTTTTCAAATGAGCAATAATTTATTTTTTAAATTAAACAACCAATCTGAAATATTTTATAGTACTTAAAAGTGCACAAAATATGTTTAACTAAATATATTTAACAAAATATATTTAACTTTAAAAATGTACAAAATATTTTTACTTTCTGAAACTCACCCCAAATAGGGAATTAAATTATTAATATCATTTTCTGACGCCTCGAGTTTTCCCCCCACAATATTGTACTACTTTCACAAGTATTTATCTTCTTCCCATCAAACTTTTCTCGTTATTCAGGAAGACTGCAATGTGGGCAGATTAAAGTCGTTATCACGAATCGCTTTTGGCGATAAAACAGGAGATTAAGGTTCAAATTCTTAGAGAGAAGAAACTTTCTTTCTCTTGTGGGATAACTTTTCTTTAGTGTAACAAGATCTTGTGGTTGACTATAGACTTTTTATTGAATGACCACATTAAAAAAAACTTAAAATCCTTTAATATTATGTTATCGTAAAATGAAAAAATTCCATCACAAAAAATTCCATTCTATGAGTAAAAGTAATTCATTTTCTGTGCTGTTTATTTTTCTCTTTTTTTGTCTTCAATTAAAAAAACTTAACACAACTTAATAAGTTTCAGGATTATCAGCACAAAATCTTAATTTCAAATTAATTTCTTTTAAGCATAAAAAAATTATAACTCGGAGACATAAATTTAAAAAATGTTTTTAATCATTTTTATTTAATTTTTACAAGTAAGCTTTTGTTGGTAGAAAAAAGTTTGGTTACTTACTCCACTAGAAAAGGGTTCTTTATTTGCTCCACTTTTGAAAAACGTATAATACAAGGTCTTCGCAAAATTGAAATATAGCGGAAAAATAAAAAAAATATATTTTTATTTACTTTTTGAAAAAGACATGTAAAAAATTTAGTTTTGTATTCAACCTCCATGCAAAAACTTATACGGCAGATACCTTTTGACAAGACAATTTTTTATTACATTTCCTCTAGCAAAAAACGTGAAATAACATGCATAAATGCATAAGGAGAAATTTAATAAAGTGCTTTATCTTAGAAATATAACTTATAAAGCATTTGTTTAAATACTTTTTTTTAAATTAAGCTCATATTTCAAATGTTTTTAATTTTCTACTTGAAATGGCATGTTTACATTCAGATATTTTATTCGTTTTGCTATTAGAAGTAGAGATTTCAGATATTCGATGTTTTAAAGCAATAAAGAACCAGTGAAAAAAAACAACAAACGAAAATCATTTGAATAAACATTATTATTATTTCATATACGACTTGTTCATGGCATTTAGGTACAGATACTATTATATTAGGT